AAATTTATAACTGTGAGCTCAAAACAGATGGTGGAGGAAATGGTCATGAACGCAATTATGATCTCATGGTTATGTCATCTAAGGTGATTGTGGATTCTGGTCTACTTATGCAAAAAATGCAATCGACCTAATTTTATTAAGGATCATTGTTAACAACAATAGGTTGCATCTAAGTGGTCCTTATATAACTAGGGTAATATTTGTTTAAGGAGACAAATTTAAGTCAATTTTTGTTGACAAAGGGTTTTGTGTCATTTAATTGTATTCTTATGATGTAGAATTCAAAGAACGAAAAGTTGTTGGAGAATGTATGGGCTACAGTTTTTCACTGTAATTTAATTGTGTCATTTGACAATAAACCACTAGGTAAGAGTGTTTTGGTTATAATCACTACTTTTTGTGGAGCCTTTGTGCCAAACCAAGCAGACAAAAGACTCGGTTCGCATTTTTACCCTTTATTTTGTATGTGAATATAATGTTAAATTTTACTTCTATAATTTTGATTTAATTGTTTCAAATTTTGATTTTAAAAATTGAACGCTTCTTGTTGAGATTTTTAGTCAACACGGTTATCATCAACATAAGGCATTTGGAATACCCGCATTTGCGATTTTTTTTATTTTTATTACTTTAATATTATTAATGGTCTGTTTAGGGAAGCTGTATCTTTTTGAAGATGCAGCTATGGAAATGTTGAAGAAGCGTTGTCCAAAAACTGTGGTAAGCTATTATAAAATAATTTTTATTTTAAAAAGTCAGATCATAGCTTTCAAGCAGCCATCGCAGGTAGTCAGATTTGGTGGGAAAACACAACTTTTAACTGCAGTTTTTTGAGAACACAAACAAAATGCAGTTTTGTCAAACAAAAAAAAACTACAGTGTGGCGCCGCACCATCACCTCATCGTCGGCCCAAATGCAACCTAAGAGTATCAGTCTTGTTAACTTCAAACTTTTTAGGGAGGAGAATTATTGTGAAATGACACTTATACCCCTGATTTTTCTTTGTACTTTGATCAGTCAATTTAGCTCGATAGACTCCCAATTGATTGGTCTTTGGCGGGTTATTTTTTGCTTGTTAAACTCGATAGCCCCCCTTACATTTAATGCCATAGTCAGGTATCCCTGAGTAGCCGTGCAAGCACTGAATGTCATACCAGTGCAGATCATAACAAGCCTTGAAATGTGCTTGGATAAATGTTAGACTTCAACACTCATTTTCTTTTTATGCTTTTGGGTGGAAGATAAAGGGCGTTTAGAATGACTTTTTTCACCTTATTCTCTCTCCTATGGTGCTTCCTCTTGGACTTCATCTGAATGAGCATATTTAGGCTCATCCAAATTCTTGTGGAAGTCCTATGTTGTCGCCCAGTCATTGGATTTTGTAACCACAATAACTAGAAACATAGAATCAAGTTTTTCTTCTAGCTCAAGGTCTATGCCAGAAATTCTAAATTTTTTTTGTATTGAACATGACCTAAAATTGATAAATTTGTAGTTCAATTAATATGAAAATATAAAAAATTCATATAACATTTTTTACTTACTAAAATTTTTTCTCACCGAGAAACATAGAATCAAGTTTCTCCTCTAGCTCAAGGTCTATATCAGAAATCTTAACTGTTTTTGCATTAGGTAGAACCTACAATTGATAAAATTGTAGCTAAATTAATATGACAATAGAAAGAGTTCATATAACATTTTTCACTTACTGAATTCTTTTCTCTCCACTACTCATTTGATGCATCAACTACTTTCTTAACATGGTTCTAATCTAATCCAGTTGCCCCTCTTTAACTCCTTTCACAATTTTGAATCTTTTTTGAGTTGATTTTATTTGTTCTTTAATTGAATTTTATCATACAATCTTTTTGTTTTTTCATAGAAGATTTTTGTTATATTTTGCCAGCCTTCTTTGGTGAAGTGTGTCTATTGCCATTTTCTATCTCCTTCAAGCATAAATCGCATACTATAATTTTTACCTCCTCCTTCCAAATGACCGATATACCACATTTGTTTCTCAATTTGATGTATCATGAAGATAAAAAAAAAATTTGGAGAAAATTATATAATTTAGCTAATAACTAAAAAATTAATTGAAAAAACTGAAACAAAATTTAAAGAAGACAAAATAAATTAGAGCTTTATTAAAGATTGCTCTATCTAGGATCACTCAGTGCATTCAATAATAAGATAAACTATGTCATGCAGGCTTTAATGCAGGCTTTAAGATCAAGTAATATATGTGGTTAATTGTATCATACAGAGTTTAAGACCGGGTAGAATTTGTAGCTAATTGTGTTATGTATGATTTAATATTAGATAGTATCTGTAGTTAACTGTGTCATATGTGCTCTATGATTAGTTAGTATTTATGATTAAATGTGTCATGTGTGCTTTAAGACCAGATAATATGTGGTTAATTGTGGTTGCAAATAAGTGGGGACAATTATATGAATCACAGTTGGTGATCGACTGAGCTCTTTTTTCTTTTTTTTCTTCCATCATTGTTTTACATAATATTATTAAAACCAATGTTATCAAAACCCACATTACATATATAAATGCATAATAGTTGACTTGTTTGTATGCAAACCATCACAGCTAGCAAAACCTAAACCAGAGAATCCCCAACCACAACTAACCAAACCGAGCAACCCCAATCATTTTTTCTTTTTTTTTTCCATCATTGTTTTACATAATATTATTAAAACCAATGTTATCAAAACCCAGATTACATATATAAATGCATAATAGTTGACTTGTTTGCATGCAAACCATCACAGTTAGCAAAACCTAAACCAGAGAATCCCCAACCACAACTAACCAAACCACAACCAGAGCAACCCCAATCATAGCCAATATAACCCGAACCATAGCCAACATAACCCCAACCAAAGCAATCCCAATCACAACCAACAAAGACCACATAACTCAAACTGTAGCCTATATAACCCCAACCCAACCAACAAAACTGTTTCCGTTCATTTTTCTCTTTTTTATTTTAAAAGGAGTCGCCAGCTTGTCGATCGTCGTATACTTCCCCCATTCGAATAAATCTCCCTTCCGAACCATATAAATGATTCGAAGAGGAGATGAATCGAATAAAAAGGGACATACGACAAAGTGACAAACAAGAGAAAAAATAAAACGTGGAGAGTCTACGT